GGAGCATGCATTGCATGCCTAATTATATATTCTTCCCTTTCTTAGACTTGGGGCAACACAAAATTCAAGCCCTTTTTCTTCTCTTAGAGATGCTCTCTCACTCTCTCCATAGACACATATTCAGAGGAATTGTTTACCTTTGCAGCACCTTCTTTTACGATGGTGGGGGGTTAACCCCAAAAAATTCTGGTTAGACCAAATATGAGGCACTTTTAACCTCAAGCATCCCATGTCACGTGTTGTAAGATATAAAAATTTCATGACCACAACCAAGAAAACTCTACAGAAATTTGTTAGGGAACATATTCTTCTTGAACATGAATGCATGGACATTGGACAGAAAATGTGGTCCTCCTACATTTACTCTTTTATACTGCTATTGCTTGAGATTCGAGCTTTTCAACTCTCCCCCCACCCAATAGCCGCCACCCCCCACCCCAATACTGCTGATATATATTTGGTATATAAATATATTATCCGCCATTTGTAAATTGTAATTCCACTTCAATCCTAACTTTAAGTAGAGAATAAAAATACTGTGGCTGGAGGATAAGGTCAAGCTTCAACTTGAGCATAGAGCGTGGCTGCTGACCAGACCAAGCTTCGTGATTGTGTACGGTTTTTAAAACACTGATAAAAGTCGTGTAACTTGGGAAAAAATGGGTAAAATGATTTGCTAAAGAGAAAACATTGCAAATAATTTTTAAAATTACGCGTATCGCTTTCTCAAATTAATCTCGACAGATTTCTGAAATTATTTAATTGGAGTAGGAGGGCTATGAGGATGCACTATTGTAAATAAATGAATAGGCCTTTGCACCTATGTGCATAAAACAGAAAGGAACATCCAAAGAACAGGACGGAGATTACATAAAAAAAATTCTGGCTTCCTTATGTTTTCTAAATTCACTTAAATTTGTTCAGATTTTCATTGTCATACTTTTATGTTGCTTATTATACATCTTTCTCAGTCATGGTAACAAACTGATCCTGCAGGCAGTGTCCATATAATATTTTCATGTTAGCTCTTAATATAAAACATATTTTTCTCATGGTGATTTTAGATTTCTTTTGCTTTTGGGTGGTTTTTCTCTGCTGTTTTCTTTTCCTTTTTTATTTTTTGAGAGAGGCGATGGACCCAATAAATTGCAGTTGTTTTAGTTTATACAATTTACAGTCCAAGTTGTTGAACAAGCAGCAGATTTGGATGTCTTTTTTGCGCCTTTTACTTTGTTTATTCTTCTGTTTTAATGGCCAAAGACTCATCATTCATGCTAACGGTAAAGGATGGCTTCATAAAGTATAAAGTCAATTACAACTTTTTATTCAAATTTCTGCAAAAGGGTTATTTGTTTTTCCAGCAAAGATTCCTGCACAGTAAAAATAACTTGCCAACTCTGCTAAATGCAAGGCATAGAAGAGAATCAATATGAAAATTTCTCAGATTTGTGAGTCTTTAAAGGTCCATGACTTCATGGTCAAACCATAATTGGCTTGAACGGGGAAAATGTGGACTTGGAACATGGCACAGATATCATGATTTTACTGTGTCAGTTTTCTTGATTTTCCTGCAAGAAAAAGCATTTTTTTCACAGATGGAAGCAATGATTTGTGTGGGTTTTTGTAGACCATTTATGACTTATTGTTCTTGGTATTTGGATCACCAAAAATTTTGCCTAATAATAATCAGAATGTCCCACAAGCTTCAAACAGAAATTCTAAAGCAGACTAGTTCAGCAGAAAATTAGTAGAAAAAGGATGATTGAGTAAATAATGGGAAAAAAAAAAAGGAAAAGGAAAAGTACATTTTGTCTCTAGAGTGCCCATTTACTGTACTTTTGGAGTTGATGACCAACTTACGTGTACGAATATGTTTCAATGCAAATACCGATATTTAACAAATAGTTTTGTTAGTTGGTTAATTGGTAGCGTGTTTCCCTTTTGAAGAAGTTTATCTCTGCAGTCTCCCTAAATTCGAGCGTGTTCTTCAACGTGAGGAAGCCCACAAGGAATCAAGTTTCAGTAATTGATAATGGTGTCATGAATAAAATCCAAGTATGCAAGATGGATTATTAGTGAATTCATTCCCTACACCATTAAGGCTCCTTTTGTTCAAAGCATCCTATGACATGGTGATGGATGATAATACTATACCATACACTAGAGGATTTAGTGTTGAATACTATTCGTTTTTCTACAAGGTGCACTTTCAGATCAAACCAAGCCTTTAGGTTGTTTAAGTATATTTGGGCTAGGTCATTATGCTCATGCCACCCCTTGTCAAAGTAAGTTGATGCAAACCCCCTCCTAAGGGTGGCAAAAATAAAAAATAAAAAATAAATCGAAAAACCAACCAAATCGATCAAACCAAATTGAGTCGGTTGGTTTGAACCAAAAAATTGATTTAATTTGGTTAATTTTAACCATTAAAAAGTTGGGTTGAGTTAGTTTTGGTTTAAGCAACCAAACCATTAATTAACCGATTCAAGCTGCAAATGCATTTTTTATTTTATTTTAAATTCATCTTCTTAAATGTAAAAAACAAAATAATAAAAACACAAATATAATTTTATTTCAAATAATTTGTTTATCGTTTATATTTTTTCTACCAAAATTTTAAATGTCAAAAGAAAAAAAAAAAAAAAAAAAGAAAAAAAAAAGTGTTTAGCAATTTAAAGTTTGTTGTCTCTTTTAAAAAAAAAAAATTCAAATTTTGCTTCATTTTTAAAAATTCAAAATTCCTTCGTTACTTGGAATTTTTATATAAAATTAGTGGTGATGGATAGCCTCATAAGTTAGCTATTGAATAAATTTGGAATCATGTCAATCCGATGCTGGTAAAATTTTATATTTTCCATAAAGTAAAATGCACTGGTAGAGTCGCCGTTTTTCCAGCTTTTACCTTGAGTTCAAAAATTCATAACTCGACTGTTACTTGGAATTTCTGGATGAAACCAATTGGATTTGATAGTCTCATGGATTAGCTACTGAATAAGTTTGAAATCATATGGTTTTGATGTTTATCAAATTTTATATGTCATTTTAAGTGAACTACACCAGTTTACATTTCAACCAAGTCGCTGGTGAGTTTTGAAAAATATTTTATTACCTCATATGATGTCGATGGAAGCTAATTTTTTACTATGTCATTTTATAAGGGGTTTCCTACTTTACATTAAAATTTGATGAAGTTTTGAGGTCAATAGCTATGCAAACAAATTTATATTGACAATTACTGTTTGAGATAAAACCTAAAACAGCAATATTACTTTTTAAGTTTTGTCAAAACTTTCACGTCAATAGTCGTGACATGCATGGAACCCATTCTAAATATATTTTTGAAATTGCTTTTTTTTTAGTATTGAATTATTGTTTAAAAAAATTATGACTAAAGTACAGTTAATCTCGTGACATTTCGATCCATGCGGGTCGGAACGTTACAGCGTGGTATTAGAGCACTAGTTTAATCGATTCTATAGACAAAAGTATATTTAAATTATGAAATGAGAAAAACGAAACATTTAAGGCACTCCAGGGCATCTTATATCTATCAGTTGATCTCATCCGACGAACCCAAGGTATGGAATAAAATATTATGTTCCACTTTATTTTTCGAGCATGATTTATAAATCATTTAAGCTTGAATCTATGAAAATACTTTTGATGTTTAGAATGAAATATGTTATGTAAATTATATTTTTTTTAAATATACATGAATAAAATGATAATTGCTTGTTATATTAAAACTTCAAGAGCATAATGTGTAAGTTGATGTCACTAACAAAAATAAAACATAATTGGACACTTATCTGACGAACATGGTTAGGACTTATCAGACCGCTAGAAAGGCCACAACTTGTAGAGCAGCGTTGAACCGTAGGTCCATCATTCTGTCCTATGAGAACTACGTGACTGACCCATCTCGTTCACTTGTTGAACATGTACATGATATCTATGAGAAATGTATGGCAGCTGTTGATGCAAGACTGGAGATCATGCATATTGATGCTATGAATAACCTCATACATTCACTCCCTCCTCAATGGAGAAACATGGGAGTCATGGCTAGAGATGAGATGCTAGAAGGTAACCCTCAAGAGCATCCAAATACAATTGAATTTGGTATATATTGACAGGTCCTTCTAGACAGGTGGAGTGAGAGCTTAGAACCTCAACTGGATATAGTAATTAAGTCCAATGATGAGGTTGAGCCCGAGGTCGAGCCCGAGCCCAAGCCCATGCCTCAGTTTGAATCAGAGTCCCAGATGAAGATCCCGAATGGGAGTAGGATGATGACTTTGGTTTAGAATTAGAGAATGATCATGAGCATAAACCTGAACCTAAAACATATGTTGAGATGGACCTAGAGTCAGGACCTGAGGAAGAAGACTCCTCTGAAGATTAAGCTCCACCGAAGAAGATTCGCAAGATTCATAGGGATTAGAAATTTAGATTTCATTTCCTTGTGATATCTTTTCCTTTATATTATTGGAAGTAAAAGGTTATCGAACTATTGAATATCCTGATTTCAAGGAGTACTGAATAAAAAAAACAATTCTGATCAAGTTGAGTTTTTTTTTTTTTTATTTCTGGTGCTGAAAAATGAAGTTAATGTGAGATATTATATCTTATCTCTAGGGAAATGTCTTGAGCAAACCAGAATAATTTGATAAGGGATCTCCTACAAGCGATTCAAGATCTTGGCAGGCTGATTCAGAATCTAGCTCCACCTACACCACCAGCTCCTATTACTCTCCTGATTCATGCCTCGATGGTCGAGTTATTTCGAAACTTCCTTCGATGGAGCATATAGTCCACTAGTAGTTGAAGAATAGCTTCGTAAGTTAGAGCGAATTTTTCGACTCATCGATTGCACTGACGCCCAATGTGTGGAGCTTATGTTTATGGGTGATTCAAGTCATTGGTGAGATTGGATATCCCGAAGTAGGACTCCAGAACAGCAATTACCATTAACTTGGGAACAATTCGAGGAGAAAGTGATGGACAAGTATTTTCCTCAATCTCTAAGGGATTTCAAGGAAAACAAATTATTTCACCTCAAGCAGAGTAATATGTCCCTGACTGATTATGACCGAAAATTTGACCAACTCTTAACGCATGCTCCACACCTAGTGGACACGAAAATTAAGAAGACTCAAAGGTTTGAGCAAGGGTTAAACCCAGATCTAAGCATGATTCTTATGTCACATCGTTTCACATCATACCGTGAGATGCTGGAACGAGCTCACGCTATTTGGTATCAGAAGGCAAATGCAGAGCAACACCATCAATTGTACAACCACCAGGACAAAGGACATGTTGAAAAGAGAAAATGGAATGGTCAAGACAAAGGAAAAGGCAATTGGCAAAATAAGAAGGCTAATACCGGACCTAGTGCTAGTAAGGGCATAGTAGCTGCAATAGCGCCATGTCCTAAGTGTGGTAAGCCTCATCGTGGGGAATATTTGTATGGGAAGAATGTCTGTTTTTGGTGTGGTAAATCAGAACATATTACTAAGGATTGTTCTATATTTACTCAGAAGAAGGATGATAACAATGATCAAAACAAGAAGGGGAAAGCATGAGTGTTTACAATGACTCAAAAGGATGCAGAGGAGAACTCAAATGTGATAGCAGGTATATTACTGATATCTGATACACCTGCTTATGTACTGTTTGATTCAGGAGCTACTCATTCTTTTGTATCAACATCTTTCATTGCTAAGTCTAATATTAATTGTAATAAGTCAAAGAGTACACAAGAAGTTAGCATTCCCTCAGGCAAAACATTGAACATAGATCAGTTCGCTAGGCCAGTGAATCTTCAAATTGAGGGAAAAATATTTGAATCAAATTTGTATGTGATAGAGCTGAAAGACTTTGATGTAATTTTGTGCATGGATTGGTTAGGATATAATTATGAAACTATTCATTGTAGAGAAAGAGAAGTGTCTTTTCAGAAACCAGGAGAGGAACAATTTTCTTTCCCTGGAATAAAGACCAAACCCCACCTCTAACTAGTATCAGCCTTAAAAGCTGAGAAAATGTTAAGAAAAGAAACATTTCAAGAATTTCTAGTCAATATCTCTGGAGAAAAATTGGCAACGATAAAGATTGAGGATGTACCGGTGGTACAAGAATTTATAGATGTGTTTTCAGAAGATCTACTTGGTATTCTACCAAATAAACAAGTGGAATTCACAATAGATTTGGTTCCCGGAGTGGCACCAGTATCTAAAACTCCATACAGAATGGCCCCAAAAGAACTTCAGGAGTTGAAAATCCAGTTACAAGAATTGTTAGACATTGACTTTATTCGACCAAGTGTATCACCACGGGGCGCATCGGTATTGTTTGTAAAGAAGAAAGATGAAATTATGCAGATGTGTATCGACTATCAGGAGTTGAACCGTTTGACCATCAAGAATAGGTATCCTTTCTCGAGAATCGAGAATTGTTTGATCAATTGAAAGGGGCTAAGGTATTTTCCAAGATCGATATACGATGTGGATATCATCAATTGAAGGTTAAGGAAAGTGATATACCTAAGGCAGCTTTTAGAACTCGTTATGGACATTACGAGTTCACAGTTATATCATTCAGATTGACAAATGCTCCGGCAGTGTTTTGGATCTGATGAATAGAGTATTTCATCAGTATTTGGATAAATTGGTTATAGTCTTCATTGATGACATTCTAATTTACTCCAAAGTAAAGATCAATATGAAGAACATCTTAGAATAGCATTAGAAACATTGTGTAAGGAAAAGTTATACGCAAAATTTAAAAAGTGCGAATATTGGCTTGAACGAGTTGGATTCCTTTGTCATGTAGTTACTGCCCAAGGAATTGAAGTAGATCCGGTAAAGGTGGAAGCGGTAACTAATTGGAAGACACCGACTAATGCTGGTGAAATTCGAAGTTTTTTGGGATTGACTGGATATTATTAGAGATTCATATAAGGATTCTCCAAAATAGTTGGACCAATAACATAATTGACAAAGAAAGGAGTAAAGTTTCAATGAACAGATAAGTGTGAGCAAAGCTTTCAAGAGCTAAAATAAGAATTGATTACAACATCTGTATTAACCATACCTGAAGGTTCAGAAGGGTTTGTTATATATAGTGATGCATCTAAACAAGGTTTGGGATGTGTACTAATGCAGTATGAAAAAGTAATTGCCTATGCGTCAAGACAATTGAAGCAACATGAGCAGAACTACCCAACGTATGATCTAGAACTTGCAGTGGTGACTCATGCATTAAAGATATGACGCCATTACTTATATGGAGGGAAATGTGACATTTATACGGATCATAAAAGTCTCAAATATTTCTTTACACAGAAGGAATTGATTATGAGACAGAGACAATGGTTGGAGTTAGTAAATGATTATGATTGTACTATTCATTATCATCCTAGTAAGGCTAATGTTGTGGCTGATGCTCTAAGCAAAAAGTCGATGGGACAGTTGGCATCATTACCTACTATTCCGATGGAGTTTATCAAAGACTTGAAAATTTTGCACATAAATTACGGAACAAAGAGATTCAACTGGTCAAAGTGCAATAAAATAATCATGGAGTAGAAGAATCTACTTGGGAAAGAGAAGATGAACTCAAAGACAAATATCCGACACTCTTTGCCAATCCATAAGGTAAATTTCAAGGACGAAATTTTGTTTAAAGTGTAAGGGACGTAAAAACCTCAAAAATAAAATGAAATTAGACTAATAATGTTGTGATGATCTAGCACCACCAACCTAACTCATTCAAGAAACAAGTTATGGAAACTCAACTCATTTAAGATTTTGAAAACTCAAACCATAAGTTAATTAAAAACCCAACAAATTAAGAGATTAAGTTTAAGTAAATTTGATTACAAAGATTTAATAAATAACTGGGTTGACACAATGGTCATCTACATAGTATTTTATATAGACAACCCAGGTTCGAATCACCATGTAGATGTTTTTATAAAACTTTAATGAATAATTTTTTAGGCTTAAAAACTCTTCAAATTTTTAGTTAAAGATCTAGTTTAACAAACTTAATGATAATACAATTTCCCCCATTTAGTTTTTCATTAAAAAAAAAGGTTACAAGAAGTGGAAGGTCACTTTTTCACTACACCCCTCCTCAAATTCGAATTTCCACTTATTTTCTCTCAAAAAGAAATATATTTCATGTCAATTTAGCTAAGGGAATAATAGGGGTGAGAAAAAGAAAGGCTTCCTACACATTTTATTCTTTGATATCCAAGAAAATTCGAGATAAGTAAAGGTCCAATTGTTTACTTTGTTTCAAATTATGATTTTCGATAAATATTTGAATAAAATGGTACCTCCGGGTACGGTTCTTCGGCACTAGAACAGTTTGAATGATCATTCTCCGCTTCTACGCGTTATGACAATGCTATAGTAATTGGATTTTGTCGAAAATTCATCTACGTGCGATGGTATGAATTTATAGTTCGAAATTTTTAATTTGACAACAAAATGCATCGATGATATCTATTGAGTTTCAAACTCATGGGGTTAATTCCCTTCTTACAAGTTGAATGGATTTTCCTTGGGGTGTGGATGATGGTAAAGGACGATGTGACATGCCATGGAGAAGTCGGTGATTTAATATCTTGAGATTTTTACGTTTTTTGTTTTTTAAATTAGATTCCTACGGATGTCGTGTGTTGATCTATTATACGAACATTCTTTATGAATAAATTATGTTTGAAAGTAGATATATGTCATAGGAATAAATTTATAAATCACCGTTTAAGAAAATAAATAAATAAAAAATAAATGTTTGCAATTTAAAGTTTGCTCTCTCTTTTAAAAAAAATTCAGATTCTGCCTCATTTTTAAAAATTCATAATTCCTTCGTTACTTGGAATTTTTATACAAAATTAGTGGTGATGGATAGCCTCATAAGTTAGCTATTGAATAAACTTGGAATCATGTCAATCCGATGTCGGTAAAATTTTATATTTTGCATAAAGTAAACTGCATTGGTAGAGTCGCAGTTTTTCCAGCTTCTGCCTTGAGTTCGAAAATTCATAACTCGACCGTTACTTGGAATTTCTAGATGAAACCAATTGGATTTGATAGTCTCATAGATTAGCTACTGAATAAGTTTTGAAATCATGTGGTTTTGATGTTTGTGGAATTTTATATGTCATTTTAACTGAACTACACTAGTTACATTTCAACCGAGTCGCTGGTGAGCTTTGAAAAATATTTTATTACCTCATATGATGCCGATGGAAGCTAGTTTTTTACTATGTCATTTTATAAGGAGTTTCCTACTTTACATTAAAATTTGATGAAATTTTAAGGTCGATAGCTATGCCAACAAATTTATATTGACAATTTATATTGAATCACTTGATCTAAAAGGTTATGCATATATGATCAATGTATATCATTTTATTGTCTTCAACAACATCATCAACGGGCACTAAACAAGGAACCCAGCAATTAAAAGAAAAAAATCGACTATAATGTTGTTCAACTGAGTTCTATGGATTCAAAAACATAGTAATTTGAATTCTCTATATGGTATCTTGGTTTACAGCTAAAGTACAGTTAATCTCGTGACGTTTTGATCCATGCGAGTCGAGACGTTACAACTACTCTATCACATGTGGATCTTCCCTGTAATCATTGTATGACATGTCAGTTTATCACTATACAACATCATAATATTATATAAATAACAAGTTATAATTTTTAACAATTTAATTTAAAGATATTGTCATAACTTTCATTGTATTTTTTTTTTCCTAGTATGACATGTAGAGAGTATGTGGAACATCAATTTTTTATTTTTTATTTTTATTTTTTGGTTGGGGGAGTGGGGTTACAAAAGTCACAAAATGTGATAATGAAGAAATTTGAAATTAATTTAAAGTTCTGTGACGCAATCAACGTTCTGCATAAAGTTCAATGACTGCCAATGAAATTTATCAAATTATTTGTGTTTAAATGTGAGGTGGGGCTTAATTATACGTGCCATGGTAGGGACTAGGGATGTCAAAAGGGCCGAACCACTTGTCGGCTCGACAGTTCGGCTCGTGAAAATGGGGCTCGTGGGTGGCTCGGGCTCGTACTCGACTCCCCTAAAAGGCGAGCCCATGGGCGGTGAGCGGCTCAATTGAACGAGCCGCTCGTGGCTTGTCGAGCCCCCAAAGGTAAAGTGACCATTTGCTCGTGGCTTGTTGAGCCCCCAAAGGTAAAGTGACCAAAATGGTCACTTTTTAAAAAAAGTTAATTTCCCCCCTTGTCCAACCCCCAAA